GTCCAACTCTCACATCCATACATGACTACTGGAAAAACCACGGCTTATACTATACAGACCTTTGTCAGCAAAATAATGTCTCTGGTTTTTAATATGCTGTCTAGGTTTGTCATAGCTTTTCTTCCAAGGAGCAAGCATCTTGTAATTTCATGGCTGCATTTGCCAACTGCAGTGATTTTGGAGCCCAAGAAAATCAAGTCTGTCACTGTTTCCATTGTTTCCCCATCTATTCGCCATGAAGTGATGGGACCAGATGCTATGATCTTAGTTTTTTGAGTGTTGAGGTTTAAATCAGCTTTTTCATTCTCCTCTTTCACTTTCATCAAGAGGCTCTTTAGTTCCTCTTTGCTTTCTGCCATAAGGGTAGTGTCATCTGCATATCTGAAGTTACTGATATGTCTCTTGGCAATCTTGATTCCAGCTTGTTCTTCATCCACCCCAGTATTTCACATGTATATATTGAGTATATATGTTTTGAGTATACCCTTTTCTGGGGTGGGTTTTGTTAGACGTCATGCAGGAACTTGCAGGGAGCGAACCTGCACCCCCTGCAGTGGAAGTACAGAGCCCTAACCGCTGGACTGCCAGGGAAGTCTGTGTACAGTGTATCCTTGTAGCGTATTTATTTTATATATGATAGTTTAGTTTGTAACTTGGCTTCCCAGATGGCATAGTGGTAAAGAATCTGCCTGCCAGTGCAGAAGACAAAAGAAGACGTGGGTTCAATCCCTGGGTCGGGAAGATCTCCTGGAGCAGGAAATGGCAACCCACTCCGATATGCTTGCCTGTAAAATTTCCCTGCACAGAGGAGCCTAGTGGGCTACAGTCCATGGGGTCACAGAGTGTTGGACACAATGAGCGACTGAGCGCACACACACATTGTTTGTATCTTTTGATCCGTTCTCTCTATATTGCCCCTCCTGCCTTCCCTCTCCTCACTGGTAACCACCAGCTCTCTGTGCTGTGCTTAGCAGCTTAGTCATGTCTGACTCTTTGTGACTGTAAATAATGCTGCTATGAACATTAGATGGCTTCCTTGGTGGCTCAGATGGTAAAGAATCTGCCTGCAATGCGGGATATCCAGGTTCAGTCCCTGGGTCGGGAAGATTCCCCTGAAGAAAGGAATGGCAACCCACTCCAGTATTCTTGCCTGGAAAATTCTATGGACAGAGGAGCCTGGAAGGCTACAGTTTGTGGGGTCGCAAAGAGTTGGACACAACTGAGCGAATCTCTGCCTTCTGTCTGGGTGAACATTGGAGGCCTTCCCAGGCGGCACAGCGGTAAAGGATCTACCTGCCAGTGCAGGAGACACAAGTGATGTGGCTTCCATACCTGGTTTGGGAAGATCCTCTGGAGGAGGAAATGGTCACCCACTCCAGTATGCTTGCCTGGAAAGCTCCAGGGACAGAGGAGCCTGGTGGGCTACAGCCCATGGGGTCTCAGAGTCGGGCATACACACACATGAACATTGGGCTGCCTGTATCTTGAATCTTTCTCACTTTCTTTGGATATGTACCTAGGAATGGAATTGCTAGATCATATGTTTGGCAGGTCTATGTGCAAGTTTTGAGGAGCCTCCACACCGTTTTCAGTGTCTGTGCCAGTGCTGGAGGGTGGTCTCTTCTCCACAGTCTCCCTCACATTTGGTATTTGTGGTCTTTTGGATGATGGCCATTTTGACAGGTGTCAAGTTATATCTCACTGTGATTTGCCGGGAGCTGGCACACGAGATCCCACCTATGACAAGGTCATAAGGGGAGAAAACCTGACGGGCAAGGCGGATCAGGTTTTCAGGGGTTTCGAAAAGGCCAGCTCATGAGATCCCACCCATGACTAGGTCACGAGGAGAAAGCCTGACAGGCAAGGCGGATCAGGTTTCCAGGGATTCCGAAAAGCTGCCCCCGGCGCTCACCTTAAAGATGATATCTGTCTTTCTGATGCTTGCTTCAATGGACTATTCCCTAATTTCTGTGATAGAGGCAGAAGGCCTTCCCTGATCTCTTTCCAAATAAGAATCAATTTAGAACTTTAACCAATAAGTTTCCCGGGTGGTGGTATTTTATGAGAATTATCTAGGGTGAAAGGAGTGTTTTAATTTAAACTCCTTTGCTGGTATTTTAGTTTGTTTGGCAAATGCATTTATGCCCTTGGTACTAATATGCATGATTGCTTATAGTACCCTAATCATAAAATAACATAAAGAACCTGATCACATAAAGGCCCTAATAGACATAGAGCCCTTTGAGGGGTGAGGAAGCCCTATTAGAAAACACAAGACAAATTATTCTAAAAGTAGCTATTGGGTTAACATTTGCTTGCTGTCTGATGTAATGTTAAACTATCTTCCCCTTAAAAATGTACTAACTTAGGGTATAAAAGCCATGGTAAGAAATAAAGGATTGCCAGACTCTGCAGCACCCCCCGTCTGGTCTCTCTCTCTCTCTCTCTCTGTCTCTCTCCCTGCCTGGCAGACTTGGCCCTATCAAGGCTGGTCTCACGTGTCTTCTCTCTCTCTCTCTCTCTCTCTCTGTCACCGTTCATCCTGAGGGTACCCCCTGGATCCTGCCGAAGGTGGACCCCGGCAGTGATTTTCCTTTGCATTTCTCTGATGATTAACAATGTTGAGCATCTTGGCAAGTGCCTTTTGACCATCTGTGTGTCTTCTTTGGAAGATATGTTATCTTTTTCAGTGTAGTATTGCATTCTGGTCCATACTTTATTTGGGGTTTTCAATAATGTTCAAAGATGACACAAATTTTCTTTTGTGCTGTTTATCAGCATTATGTTTGGTTCATGTGAAAATCAAAACAAAAAATGTGAAAAAAATTTTTTCATGTTATCATCTCTTGAGTAATTTATATGTCATTTGGGTTATCTTTATATTCAAGATGCGGTGAAAATTCTCCTATAAGACTATCTGGACCTGATTTATTTTTGAATGATGATTCTGTGTTAACTTTATATTTTTCTATGAAAGTTGCTTTGTTTATGCTTTATGTCTACTGGGGTCAAAAGTTCCTAATAGTTATTCCCTCTTTATCCTGTTTTACTTTATATAGTTATACAAATATACAAATGTTTATGTTTCTCTTTCCTTAATTAGTCAGTAGTGTGTATACTTCATCTCTTTTAAGAAGTGGGGTTTGATTTTTCATTATCATCGTGTCGTTGCTCTTCTCCACCTCGTCAACTCCTTCTGCCTCCTTAGTTCTTTCTGTAGCATTTTGAGTTGGGACTACAATTCACTTATGTTTATTACTTTGCTTTGTAGTAAGTATTTTTATATCTGAATTATTCTCTGATTTAAGCATAGTTTTAGGTTCTGATATGTGGTGCTTCCGCTTTCATTTTTATAAAGAAATTCTGTGATTCAAGTTTGTATTTCCCCTTTTATCCAAGTGTGGTTTAGTAGAAGGTTTTAAAATTCCTAGGTGGAAACACTTTTTTTGTATTTTGACCACATTATTGATTTTGTTTCGTTGTGCTGTGATCAGTGTTGATTATACTCTTTCTCCTTCATGGAATTTTTCGCCTGCCTGCTGGCCAGCATGCTTGTTCAGCTCTCGCTGCAGTGCCCCAAGCAGCAGGCGTGCTGCATTGTGTGTGGCGTTGCCATGTGGCAGAGGCTTGCTGTGTCCGCCTGGACCACGAGTGGATGCTGCCCGTGGTTGCTGGATGTGAGAGTATCCCAGCGACCCTGCCTCCCAGGCCCCTAGATGGTCACACCGTGGGGCAGGGTGGTGTCCTTGGAGCTTCCTTCTATGGTGGTGCCAGGTGCCTCTGTGCTCTCCGGGAGAGCTCAGCACCAGGCTTCTTTCCTGGCTTGGGGAGGATCTCTGGTGCGTTGGTTGTATCCTTGGTCTGTTTCCTGAGGCCAGCGTTGGCCTCTCCTCTTCACTTCTCATTCTAGTTTAGAGTCTGATCATGATTTTGAGCACTGCGGCATCGATACCTACACTGGGGACGTGGCTGTGGTGTCCAGGCAACTGAAGACTGAATGGCCGGCCACTGGGCCTTCCCCTAGTAACAGTTTCCTAATCCCCAGTTTTCACATCCCCAGCTCACTGGCCAGAAGTTTTCTGCGGCTGCTTTTGCCAGCCTCAGCCTTGACCTGGACCCTTGAGCACCTCAGGTTTGGTGACACTGCGTCATTTTTATTTTTTAAATTATTTATTTATTTATTTGTGGCTGTGCTAGGTCTTCATTACAGTGCAGGCTCTTCTCTAGCTGCAGAGAACAGAGGCTCCTCTCTAGCTGCTGTGTACGGCTTCTCTCTGCAGCCTCAGTAGCTGCAGCGCGCGGGCTTAGTTGCCCCACAGCATGTGGGGTCCCCCAGATCAGGGACTGAACCAGTTTCTCCCGCACTGGCGGGCAGGTTCTTTACCACAGACCACCAGAGGGCCTCTCATCATTTCTTCCGGTCACGTGTCACTTTTCACCCTTTCTCGGCAAATGTCAGAACGAGGTCTGACATTTTCGTCTTGCCCATCATTTTCAGAGTTGCCATAGCAACTCGCCACAAGGACAACTGCTCAGGCAGTGAATGACTCCTTTTTCCAGTTCAAATCCAGACTCTCTAAGGGAGCTCTGTGTGCCGGGACGCTTCTGACATGTTGCCAGTTCCAGATGACAACTCAGCCATGTCCACGCCTGTGTGATTCCTCACACACACCAAGCTTTCCTTGTAGTGTGCTTCACGTGTGCTTGTTCCCTTCATTTCGGATACACCCCATTCCCTCTGTCTGGCTCACTGAGTCCTCAGGTGCCCTGGATGGGAGCTCCGTGGTGCAGGATGCCTCCTCTCTCAGGCACACAGCACATTCACTGCAGGATGAAGGTCTGCGCTTCTCTGCTTTGTCTGCCTGTGTCTCAGCAGTCCTCTGCATGACACACGGTGGTTGCTCTTGGAAGTTTCTCTTTGAGGGTGGGCAGGGTCTGTTGAGGATGGGTGATGAGATTAACTCTGGCTAAGTTTCCTGTGTCCTCCCGTCTTGCTCCAGAGGAAGAACAGGAAGCAGTCTCTCTGTCCTACCCCTTGCCCAACTCGCTGGTGTATGGAATCGACTGGTCCTGGCTCTACTTCTGCCGTCTGCCACAGACCCAGCCGTCCTTCCCTGGCAGTGACCCAGAAGCCAGAACAGCAGACCAGGACCCTGCCCTGAAGGTTGCAGATCCGTCACCAGCACCCTCTTCAGAGTGTTTAGCTGACAGTGATGGCGTGGGTGGCACCACACACCAGGACGGAAGCAAGCCAGAGGGCCCTCTGAAGCCATCTGCAGAGGACAAGAAGGATGTCCGGCTGCCTACTGCAGGGATCAAGATCTGTGACTGCGACCAGGATCTGGAGGCAGCAGACTTTGACACCAACCTTCTGGCCACTGGCTCCTTTTATAATCATGTTCTTCACCTCTGGAAGTGGGAGAACGTCTGAGCTGGGGAAGACCTTGTTTGGTTTGACATGGGAAAGACAATTTCCACAAATAAAACCAAGAGTACATCTTTATCTTTTTTGAGAACTGTCCCCAGACTATCTCACTGATGTTTTGGTTACATGAAGTTTTCTGTATGGGGCTCAGTGCATCTGTGGAATTTTCTCAGAAAAGCTGTTGGCCTCTCAGATAAACCTTATCTGCTGGGCCCTTCAAAATGGTGGCTCTGTGGCAGCAAGGGGTGGGGGAGGGGCTTGGTTCCCAGCTCTCAAACTTGTCCTGCGTTTTGGCTTTCAGTTCTTCACACTTATATAAGCAACTACTCACCTTAACTAAAATTTTTAAAGCTACTTTATAATACCAAAGTAGTTTGTTTTTGTGTTATATCAGAAGTAGTTTTATATGAACGTTAAAAAAGATCACGGCACCAGAAGTGCTTGTATAGCCTCCTGTGCAAATAACCAAAAAGAAGGGTGTATTGCTTTAGCATACCATGAACTTGAAATATGTTAAGTCCTATGGTGGATTAGTCACGCTTCCTCACTGTGGCTTCGGTTAAACCTGGACACAGCTTAACTCCAGACCTACTGGGCTTGTCACTGATCTGACTCCCATAGGTGAGTTCCTCCTCTCTGGAGGAAGATGTAGAACTACAGGCCACTGTGGCATTTGTCAACTCCTCAGCATCCACTAATATAGGTAGGTGTTCTGAATCAGAAAACACAAGCTTCTATCCTTTATTTCCTGGTACAACTGTCAGCACAGGTCAGAGTGTATTAATGTTGAACCCTCCCCCAGAGTTTTAGGATATTCCACTTAAGGATCAATTAAACAGAATTAGGATCTGAAAAATTATGCGCTGAAACAGAACATAAAGAGGGAATAGACTATTAGGGAAATAGTAGTTTGGCAGCAGCTTCCCGTGTGGCCTTATCTTTAGGTTTGCCCCAAGGCGGGGAGTTTCACCAAAATAAACTGCTTTGGGACCCATAAGTGTGCTCATTGGTTGTTCCCTGGGGTGAACTCTAACCCTAGGGTGAATTACCCAGTGCTGTCGCGTGGCTGGATCTGCCTGAAGTATCTCCCTCCTGCAAGCTGAGTCACGTGTTATTGTCTACTTTCCTCTCGGTACGGGTTCTGGTTTGGCTGGAACCTGAGACCGTCGCCTAGGTCTCTACGCTTTAACGTAACACGTGGTGTGCTTCCTTTACACAGTGACCGGATGCCCAAAACAACACGGTACGGTAGCCAAGATCTTTAATAGAAGCGAAACGAGGAAACCGCCTCTCCACCCGCCGCCCCGGAACTAGGCTGGGCGAGGAGGTCCAAGTCCTCGGTCGCAGGCACATCCTGCGCGGCAGCCGACCACTCCTAGCGCGGGAAGTTCTTGGGATACAGCTGGAAGAGCTTGCCTTCCTGCGTGGGCTCAAAGCCGTACTGTTCCAGGTGCTCGGGGTCGAAAGTCCCGGCCTTAAAGTCCTTCTCGATAGCCGGCGCCGCCGTCTCCAGAAAGAGCTGCTTGGCCGTCAGGGGAACGTCTGTGCCCTCCGGGGCGCGGTAGTTCACGTAGGGCTTGAGCTTGAAGCCGGCCAGCTCGGGCACCACCAGCTCCGGGACCATTTCCTTGACCAGCACGAACTTGCCGCCGCGACCGTGGAAGCCGACGCCCTTGGCACCCCGGCTCTTGTAGAAGGTGCGCGGGCCCCGCTTGCTGGTCCACTTGCTCATGCGGTCGGCGCCCCGCACCAGGGCGCGAGCCGCCCCGCTCAGGAGACCCATGGCGAGGCCTGCGTACAGACACCACGCCGCTGCCGGCTCCAGCCGCCTCGGATACCAGCCCCGCCGCGCAGCGCTTCCGGCGCCTTCGGCAGCTTCCGGTCCCACCGGCCCCCCCCCCCCCACCCCGCGCCGCGGGAAGGGCGGCTCCGATTGGCTGCGCCGTGTCGAATGTGCAGCCTCGGCCCTGGGAGGGGGCGGGACCGGCGGTAGCCCGGCCAATGCGCGGGGAGATCACGCGTCCGGGCGGGTCGTTAGGAGCGCGGCCGTCGGGGGCGGGGCTTCGAGGCAGCGCCCGGAAGCTGGGAGGTGGATTTAGGGAGCGCGGACGTTGGGGGCGGGGCTTCGGGGAGGCGGGACGGGAACGCGCGGTGCCGGTGAGTCGCCGTCTAGCGCCGCGAAGTGGCCAGGTTAGGGGTCTGAGTCTGTGAGAAGAGGGAGGCATCATCTCCCCCAGCCCGCGCCAGGACGACACTGACCCCCCAGGGCCGCCGGCGCCCCCAGTCCGACTGCTTCCAACCCGACGTCCGTCATCTCGACCCCGCTTAACTCGACGCCTCCCAACCTCGACGCCCCCCCAACCCCGACGCTCCACAGCTCGACACCCCTAAACTCGATGCCCCCAACCCGGGTGCTCCTCAGCCCGACACCCCTAAACCGGGTGCCCCCTACACCAGACGCCCCCCCCCCCAACCTGAGAGCCCTCAACCGGACGGCCCCTTTAACCCCTACTGTCCAAACCCTACGCCCTAATCTCCAAGCCCCCTTAACCACGCCCTCCCTAACCCCCATGCCCGCAGCCCCGCTGCCCCAGGCTCCCCCAGTTCTCCTGGACTTGACCACCTTTCCTCTGGCCCCGTGCTGTGGAGCAAGCGGAGCGGCTGAAGGCGCTTCCGTCGTGCGGCAGGTGCTGGGGGCTTGAGCCTGGTGGGGCATCGGGGGATGGGACTGGTCAGGGCTGGGCGGTAGAGCTGGGGTCAAGGCGCTCCTGGTCCTTGAGAAGACGTCTGAGGAGAAAGTTTCCCGCAGGGCACGGGCCAGTGAGGAAACGCAGGTGGCTCTGCACCTGCCTTCTGCTCCTTGACTTACTTGGGTGGGACTTTGGAAGAGACAAACCCTCCCTTGCTGTGGCCCTTCTAAGAGACCTGGGAGCCACAAGGTGAAGGCCCTGGACATGGCTGCTTCTCGTGGCAGAGAGGTCGGGTGCACAGGGCTACTCCTCAAGTTTACCACAGCCCGGACTAGCACACCCACCTTCAGGGCTCCACCACACTGAGTGGGAAATCCTGTGCCCAGCCCACTAGGGAGGGTCTGGCGCACAGCCTGCGGTGGCCACACACCCCTACCCTGACCCAGCCTCAGCCTCCTCGCCATGGTCCTGGAACTCCCGGCTGCACTAGGCCTTTGCCCAGCTGCCCACACTTGTCTTTGACTGACTGGGAGAGGAGCCCGGGGCTTGGCTGCAGTTCTCGGTTCCTTGGGCAGCTACACCAGTGCTGTTTACAGAGAGGCAAGTGGCTCCCTTTGCTTGTGAAAAGCGTTTTCTCCATGGAGAGCACAGTGTTTCATCAGAGTTTTCCTGTCAGTAGACATGTAACTTAACGTGGACAGGAACACAGGGAAGGGCTGGGAGGCACTGCTTTGCACGTGAGCCTGAGGCGGTACAACCTCTGCCCTCCTTGGAACCAGTCTTTCTTTTGTTTCACTTTTTAGCCATGGAGCAAGAGGAGGACACTGGCCCAGAGGTACGGAACCTGAGGAGTCCAGTGAGGAATCAGCCTGAAAATTCCCAGTGTGGCCGCTTCCGGACAAGGAGAAAGCTGCCCTGCAGCAGCTCCTTGAAGCCGGTTGCCTGTGGGAGTGGCGTGCGGGCCTCTCTTCCCCTGTCAGGACTGAACCCCTCCCTCCTGTTCCTCAAGGTCACACTTGTCAGTTTCTGCTTCCCTTTAAGAAGCTTGCTTGCTTTGAGGTAGGGCCTTTTTCCCATGGAACATCTGTAGCCACATCACAAAGAGTTTTATTCCTAAACCAGAAAATTAGATGCATTAAAACAGCAGTGAAAAGCTGAAAAGTCGGAGCTGCCAACCGCTAGAGACTGTGAAGAGGTCTGGGTCACTCTCACAGCCGTTCCCCTGGCTCCTCCCTCCCCTTCCCCCAAGGGGTGGCCGAGCTCAGCGGACACACTCCCAGGAGGGCGCTTGTCTGCCACCCAGTGGAGGCGGTTTCTAGCCAAGCACACATCCTGGGCCAGGAGGGCCTGGGCACCTCACTCTGAGGCAGAAGCTCCCACTGCTTCCTCTGCTTTCTGAGCCAAGTTCAGAGGGTTGAGTCTTTGGATCACTTCCTTGTTCTGTCTTGATGTAACATTTTGCTTTTGAAATGCTTTTCTGAGTGCATTGATTCCCTCGGGTTTTCTGGCATCAGTATTGTGTGTGATCCTGGCTCTGAAGGATCAGGCAAGCTACTTTAGTCCTTGGCACTTGTGTAAAGCTTGACAGAATTCACACACACACACCGCCCCCCTCCCTCAGTCCATCCTGTTCCTGACTGCTTGGAAGGATGTGAGTACCAGGAGGAGTGGAGCTTAGTTACTTGTTTGACTGGTTTCTTGTCTTTGCGGGGAACCTGCCAGCATCCCCTGTATAGGAGGTCCTAGCCGTCTGCCCACTCACCATTCCACACTCACTGTTTTCTCTTACCTTCCTGTCTTTCTCCCTGGGGTCTGGGCTTCTGAAGCGCCTTGTTGACTCCCTCCTTGGGAGCCCTTTGCTGCCATGTGCTGGATTTAATGTTCTCAAAATTCAGTTGGCTCGTTAGGGTTTCTCAGCACTGCTGTTGTGTGGGCCTGTGTCCGCCCTTGGGCCAGCAGCATGTGGTTCTGCCTGTGATGAGAAGGTACTGAAGAGGTGGCCTTTGCACGCCCCTGGCCAGCCAGGTGTGCTCCTCTGGATGTGCATCCTGAGGAACAGGGAAGCCAAGACTGGAGGGCTCAGGTGCCCGGAGCATTTGTTGTCAGTGCAGCGCAGCTGCTGGCCCTGCCCAGCCATCCTGTGGGTGGGTAGCCCTTCTCTGGAGCAGATGGACTCAGGCCCTCTGCCTCCTGAAAGGCCGCTTCATTTTGGAGGTCTCCAGGGCTTCCGACTTCTTCCCTGACCCACAGCTCTGTTCTTGCTCCCTGAGAAGCCAGGGCTGTGCCCATCCTGGCCCTTCCTGACTACAGGCTTCTTCCCTAGGTGGGCTTCTCTCTGGCCACCCTATGGTCCTGGGGTCTGGAGCTGATGGAGCAGCATTCCCAGTCCACCATGGTAACCACCTCACTGCTCCCGGGTGATGGGCGGGCCCCAGAATCAGTGGCCGCCTTCACCCTTGGCCGCCCGGGGCCCTTTGTGTCCAGCCTGTGTGTGGGGTTGGGGGTCATGGGACCTTGCTGATGGGTGCTCTGTCTGTGACCTTGCCCAGCTGCTGGGGATTGTCACTGGAGTCCTCCTGGCCCTGGCCCTCATCGGCACCACCATCATTTTTGTGTACAGAAGGGTTAGCCAATTCCGTGAGTATCTTGCTTGAGGCCGTGGCTCCAGTGAGGGAGGGAGAAGAGGGCTTGAGAGGGTGGTAGGTTCGGGTGACTTTCTCTGTGTTTTAAGCTCCCGCAAATAGCTCTCAAGGCCATAGCGGCTTCTGTTGAAAACTGCTGGCCTGTCGACCCCTCATCGGATCCATAGAATTTACCCGTGTCCTGAGCTCCCTTGACTCTCATCTCCAAGAAGAGATGAAGTCCCGCTTCCTCTGCTTGGGTGTGTCACAGCCCAGGAACAAGATGCTGTGTGACACAGGGTGGGCAGGACAAGCTCAATGCACACACGCAGCTGGCCCAGCTGTGCTCAGGCTGCCCCTTGGCACCCCTTGCAGGACAGGTGCAGCCCAGTCCTCAGTACAGGTTCCGGAAAAGAGACAAGGTGATGTTCTACGGCAGGAAGATCATGAGGAAGGTAACTCACTGCGGGCCCCCTCCCCCCTCAGAGGGGTCGGCTTCAGCCTGTGCCTGGGGCCGTGCAGGGCCGCGGGTCTTGGGGAAGGTTTGGGGCAGGCACAGTACCTAGAGAGGAAATGAGCCAGGAAGGACGCAGAAACCCCTCCCAGGAGTATCCCTGAGTGTGTAAGGCGGAGGGTCCTGGCTCCAGTGCAGATTGGTGGGCCTCCCATGATTTGGGGCTGGGCCCTGCAAGGTGGAAACTCCCAGACCTCACTTCCCAGAGTCATGACCCATCTTGGGGATGAGCAGCCTTTGCTGGTGGGCCCCACCCACTGAGGACAGAGGGCTCAGCAGACTCCCAGAGGCTTACTGTGCCTCAAAGGCATGCTTGAAACGTTTGCTGATATTTAAAAATACTGTGTTTATTAACTTTTTTCTCTAGATACACAGTTTGTGTTCTTTGTAGAAAAACTTGACCTGTCAGACGAGGAGTCACGTGGGTGTCCCTGGGTGGCTCTTTCTCCTTGTCAGGGTCAAGTTCTGTGAGCAGGAGGTTGGTTCGGGCTGCCGAGTCTGCCGGGGCGGCCCTGGCACGTGGTGTGGGGGCTGCTGCAGAGTCGTGTGGGGCCACACAGAATGACCTGCGAGCAGGTCTCGAGGCACTCGTGTGCGGTTGGATCTGGGGCTGTCCATGGATGACCCCACTGAGGACTGTGTGTTGGCAAGCTGGATTTGGTCTAAGGAAGACAGGAACATGGTCCAGTGGGGCCAGAACCCCTTGGCAAGGAGGAGTCATGGTGACAACGCACTGACAACCACAGCCAGCACCATGGGGCAGACGCAGCTTGGGAGCTGCCCAAGGGGGCCGGCTGATCCCTGGGTAGGGGCCAGGCCCTTTGTACTCCTCGGCAGCGCTGTTTGTGGCGGTCCAGCGGGCCTGGACTGTGAGGGGGATGGAGAGCTGTCCAGGCCAGGAGGGTGTGCAGGCACCGGGGTTGTGTACCAGCGTGACGGGTGTGAGGAGGAGGGCGCCAGCCTTCCCGGAGAGGGGACGCAGGGCCGAGGATGTCGGAGCTCTCAGAGCACAGGCTGTCCAGGGACATGGCCCTGCGTCCTCGCTGTCAGCAGCGCCAAGGAGGTGCCCTGTGTCCTGGGCAGGTGAGCAGGTGGGGCCCGGCCGGAATGCCTGTAGGGGCCACGTCCTGAGGGCTGGGACTGACCCTGAGACTGGGAATTGGATCCCACAGGTCTCAGAGTCCAGACTTAGCCGCCCCCTTTCATTCTGCAGGTGACCACACTTCCCCACACACTTGTGGAGAACACAGCTGCCCCCCGGCAGCGGGTGAGGAAGAGGGCCAAGGTGCTGTCTTTGGCCAAGAGGTACTGGGAATGCCCTTCAGACCAGTCAGTTCCCAGCTGCCCTCCCCAGTGGGCTATCTGTGGCTTCCCTGCTATGGGGCTCACAGCCCAAATGCTCTCTGCTGTATTTTTAATTTTTAAAACATTTAATTGGTTAATTAATTTGGTTACATCAGATCTTAGTTGTGGCACTCAGGCTTTGTTGCTCTATGGCATGTGGGATCTTAGTTCCCCAGCCAGGGATCAAACCCGCATCCCCTGCCTTGCAAGGCAGATTCTTAACCATTGGACCACCAGGGAAGTTCCTTGCTATCTGCTTTTGAACCCCTTTGGGCCTCTGCTCCAGGTGTGTGCCTCTTTGCTTTGTAGGATCCTGCGATTCAAGAAGGAATACCCTACCTTGCAGCCAAAGGAACCCCCGCCCTCCCTGCTGGAGGCTGACCTCACAGAGTTTGATGTGAAGAATTCTCACCTGCCGTCAGAAGTTCTGTACATGCTGAAAAATGTCCGGTACGAGAGAGGTGGACCTGGAGGCTTTCTTTGTGCCTGCCTGGCCTCTGAGGTGTCCTTTCCCTGTGGCCACCGATGGTTGTGTCGACAAAAAATATCAGTAAACAGTCTGTAACAGGAATAGAAAAGAGTTTTATTTGAGCCAAATTGAGGACTGTAACCCGGAAGACAGCTTCTCAGACAGTTCCGAGGAACTTCTCCAGAGAAGTGTGGTTTTCAGCACAGTTTTATATCTTGTCTGAATGAAGAACGTTAAACTAGTCACAGATACATTCCTTCAGGGTATCAGAAAGATATCAAAACCAGATCAGCATGTGCACGGTGAGTCAGTATGGCATTGACACCTGGGAAGGGAGTCTTATCGTGGAAGGAGCACCAGGATTGATCTCCCAGGATGAGAGGCACTGAGTCCTTATTTTTAACATGGGTGTTCTTTACTTCTGGTAAGTGTTCAGATCAGTCGCTCAGTCATGTCTGATTCTGTGACCCCATGGACTGCAGCACGCCAGGCTTCCCTGTCCATCACCAACTCCCGGAGCTTGCTCAAACTCATGTCCATTGAGTCAGTGATGCCATCCAACCATCTCATCCTCTGTCGTCCCCTTCTTCTCTTGCCCTCAATCTTACCCAGCATCGGGGTCTTTTCCAGTGAGTCAGTTCTTCACATCAGGTGGCCAAGGTGTTGGAGTTTTGGCTTCAGCATCATTCAGTGTGCCCTTTAATAATTAAAGCAGACGTACAGTGTATGGTTGATCAACCACAAATAGGATATTCTGTCTGGGGAGCATAGAGCGGGTGTTCACACGTGTAGCAGCCAGAATGACCTCTCTGGACCTCAGCATGTGACCATGTGTTTTATCAGTTGGCAAAGCTTCTCTCCTCTGCCTGTCACTGCCCTCCTGGTGGTGAGCAGAGCCTCCTCGCTGGTTCTTTCCCATGTTTGTCTGCTTCTCAGAGTTTCTGCCTTCAGGACGATGCAGACGAGTGTGGGAAGTGAGTGGCCGGATGGAATATTGAAAGTCTGGCTCCCTGTCTCTCCCTGGAAGCCCCAACTCCTCTCTCCAGCACTTCACTAACTGCCCTTGGTTACAGACCTGGCTCAAACTCACAGTCACAGCCTGAGACTTCTCTGAGCTCCCGGGATAGCAGCTGATGGGGCTTCCTAAACCTCAGGCTCCTGCCCTGCTGGCATCCAGGTGCTAGTGGTGCAGGCTCTGCGGCCCTTGGAAGCTCTCCCTGTGGTCTGGCCAGCAGGGACAGTGTCCTTCCTGACTGTGTCCCACGTGTTCTTATTTCTGTAGGGTCCTGGGTCACTTTGAGAAGCCGCTGTTCCTGGAACTTTGCAAACACATGGTCTTTGTGCAGCTTCTGGAAGGGGAGTACATCTTCCGGCCGGGGGAGCTGGACAACAGCATCTATGTGGTGCAGGATGGGCGGCTGGAGGTCCGCGTCCAGGACTCGGTGAGAACCCTCGGGCCGGGCGGGGGTGCTGTTGTGTTGGCACTCCGTGGTCTGCCCTCTTGAACATTTCTCAACTTTTCCATTGAAAACTTAGTGCAAAACTTATTTTACTTTATGTAGATAGAAGATTCATATTTTATTTCTCCAGCAACATATATACAGTTGAATATAAGTTAAAGGCCACCTTGCACACGAAAACCAGGTCCTTTAGGTGGTTCAGTCGAAGAGGTAAGGCCTTCAGCTGGCTCACATGAGAAGTGTCCACTCCTTGGCCCACCTTTTGGGATTTTGCCAGTCCTGAGTTCATCAAAAATTTCTTCCATATTCTGAGGTGTCAGATCCTGTAGTAGTTGTCACTGAATTGAACCGTTGACTCATTTATACAGGTCCCTAAACACTCCAACTAGGAGTGAAAAGTTTGCCAGGTGAATCGTCCCACTACCTTTCTGCTGAGCATTCCCGAGTGATCGCCAGGATGCTGGCGGAGTTTCGAAGTGTGCAAGGTGGAGTAGCACAGCCATGAATATGGCACTTTCCGGTTGGCTTTCGGTCATATGTTGTATGAGAAGTTGCTGCTTCATGTGCTCGCCCTGGAGGTGCTTGTGAAACCCCTGCACCTGTTTTCAGTGGACCTGGGCAGCCATCCCTTTTGTCTTCAGGCTGGAAGCAGAGCTGCTGCTCTGTGCCCTTCTGGGTAGTTTTCTATAGTTGGCTCTGTCCTTTTATAGCTTTCCGGTGCAAAATCCAGTGGAGCATCCGGGTTATTCTCAGGAGTGTCTCTGGGCACACCGAAGGCCCCTCCAGCTCCATCTGCACAGCTGTCTTATGCAGATTCCTTCATGCCTTCCCCACTGGGTGGTGAGACTGGCTTCGTGGGCCAGAGCACCTCAGAGAGAAATGCGGAGGGCCAAGCTGAGGGCCTTCAGGAGGTGCAAAATCTCAAGTTTGAGTTCTTTGGAGGAAAAGACACATTAGACCAAAGCTGCCCTTGACGCAGCATGTCAGCTTCTGTGACACGGGCTGCGTGGTGGCTCACATCACTCCCACTGCCTTAGGACCCCTCAGTGGGTGGGTACTGACCTGTAATGATCAGCCGCATGCTTGTCTTATTTTCAGGTTTCAGGCTATAAATAATTTTAACTGTAAGAAAATAATTAAAATATTAATTCAGCTGGAAGCTAACTCCTTGCTGCCTGCCTCTGTTGAATTATGTGCTTAAATCACAGTTGCCAGGTGAGTGCGGGGGGATCTCTAGACCAAGCCTCCCGGGTACTTGGTTTGTTTGCCTGGTGGTAGATGACCCAGGCTCCCCACCATAGACACTCAGTGAACCCTGGACTGCATGAGGTTGCCCCCATCCCCGGCCATGTGAGCCTCCCACCTGCTGGGCCCTGGGTGGACCTGGCCCGGGACGGCTCCTGCCTGTCCTTCCGGCTTCTAGACCACTGTTGTCGGGCCCAGGTCTCACGTGTAACTTTGCCTGTGAGTGGCCTGGTGGGGTAGTCAGAAAGGACATGCTTTCATCCGGTCTCCTCCAGGGGGCCTCCGTGTCGCCTGCCTGGCAGGCCTTCCCAGAGGGCCAGAGCCTTTGGCCCAGATGGATGGGCTCCCGGACTGTGGCCTGTGCAGGTTTGAACAAGTTCAAAGGGGTTCTTCTGGGTCACCCTGGGATGAAGTTCCTATCCTAAATCACCAGCAGTGCCTGGTTTCCTTCCTCCTTTAATCCGGTGGGGGAAAATATGTCAAAATGCTATCACTTACACTGAGAATAACTGCGTTTGGCTCCCACAGACTTTTAGTTAGGCCCACCAGCTCTCTCAGGCAGATCCTCCTGGTGCTGACAAGACACCAGACTGAAGGCTAGGCTGGGCCTCCTTGCTCCTCTTAGTCACCCGCCTCTTTCTGTTGTCGTCCACATGTCGGCAGAGTGCAGCCTCTGCCCCGCACGACCAGTGGTGGGAGGTTGTTTGCATGGCCGGCCTGGCCTCCCACCACGGGTGACTCTCCTCTGCTTCCCAAGCGCAGGATGGCACTGAGGTGACGGTCAAGGAGGTTCTGGCTGGAGACAGCGTCCACAGCCTCCTCAGCATTCTGGATGTCATCACTGTGAGTACCTCCTCTCCCCTGGGTCTGCCCGGACTCACTAGACAGCAGGTCCCTCAGCGCCCAGGCCAGCTCTCCAGTGACAGGAGGGTCACCCAGTGGGTGGGGGATGTGCCTGGAGTGGCCTGGGAGTGGCTCTGACTAAGTGTCTGAGGGGAGCTCGGTGTTGGCTTTTGGGTTTTGGTGTCTCTTAAATGATCATTCTTTGGACTGAGTAGCATGTGCATAGGCTCCAAGCATCACATGCATAAAACATTGCAGGATGAAGGCGATCTCTCCTGTCTTCAGGCCCCAAGGCCCCTTCCCAGGAGAGGCCCTTTCTGGATCTTCTGTGCTGACGTGTGTCCTTCAGTCACTTCTTCAGCTTTTTTGCTGTTCCTCAGTGCAGTGAATGGTCTTGTGTAGATACTGTTTCCTGTGTTTGAAGGCCAGTCTGTAGGGCAAATCCTTAGGAGACTCACTGATCCAAGGGACCTGCCTCCCACCACAGAGACTGAATTGCCAGGCATGTGAGGGCACCTCACCTGCTAGTGAGCTGTCTCATAGCTGATGTTTGCTAGTTGTCTCACTGTATCTCACTGTATCTCACTGTTTGTTGAACCCAGGGTAGGCAAGGTGCAAGCAAGGAAGCTGAAAGAAGATGTGAGGAGAAACTGCAGACATGTTTATTCTCTCTTGATTGGCATAGAGGGTGTAGCAGCAGACATACTGTATTCTCTCCTCTCATGACTGGCCCAGTGGACACAGCCGTAATGCACCATAAGACACCATAACACGGGCATAATGTGGCCTTAAGGCAGCCTCAGGGCTTTTCAGGTGGAGCTTGTATATGTTTACAGCACAGAAGTGGCCTGCGGCCAAGGAGGCACACCATGACATGCACACACAGTGCTGTAAGTGATCTCAGCTGTCGCCGTGTATTTACAAAACATGGGGCGGTAGTGAGAGGCCCTGGGGGTGAGAGAGCCTGACCACTGCCATCTTGGCAAATTTGCTCTTTCTTTACATTCCACCTCTTCAGGGTCTCTCACCTCATAGTCTATGCACAGTCCATCTTCTGCAATGTTGCCGTGGTGAATAACACTGACTCTTGGATTTATATCTTGCAACAGTAGTAGGGGCTGCAACAAGAAACAGCACTTGTCACCCAGGATACAAGCTGGAACTCACTGTACTTGCAAAACCCCCACAGGCACCAGGCCAGCCCCTCCAAGGAGGAGATTTTTGTGTTGTTCACAGTCCCCCCTCATGATTACACTTTTCTAAATCTGAGGACACAGCCTTTACAGTGCATTGTTCTAAATCTACAGCATAGGACACAGCCTTTACAGTCTACTATTCTAAATATACATCATTTGGCCACTATGGCCATCAGTGTGTGCACCAGGACCAAGAAACTGCTCCAGCTTGCCATAAGTAAGGCTGCATCCGGCACCACTGTCAACCAGGGCCATTACTCTCTGTACGTTAGCTAGTGGCCAGTGAATTGCAAGTTCTACATGGGGCCTCCAGTCCCTGCTTGGGCTCTTTGGGTGGGCACAATGATTTGAGCCCTGTTCAAAGCAGAAAAGGGCATCTGAAGGAACACCCTTGGGTGCCATATAATCTTCTAACTGAACCACCTGTGTCTCTTGCTGTGGGCATTTAAACTGCTGTTCCAGTCTCAGTTGCACGGTTGGCCTTGCTCACAAGCAGGGACCTGCAGTCTCAAATGTTCTACCATCTTTGTCTCAATGAGGGGTGAGGGGTTATAGATGCCAACTGTTCTGTTTCATCCCTGGAACAAATGATACCACCCACCCCTACGTCCCAGAGTCGCAAAAGGTGTGCTGCCTAGGGTTTCCCTTGGTTCTGCTAAAGCTACTTACCCAAGTCGACCAACTCCGCCTGAGTATACGGTTGATACGTTGTGAACTCAGTCACATTGGGGGCCCCTTGATGATGCCCCTGCCGAGCCACAGGCTGCTCATGCGTCACTTTCCGCCGTACCCCAGGCCTTGCTGACGAGCAGGGACCCATGGTCTCTCAGTGTTCATCACCACCACCTCCTCTGTGATTGTGGTTTTCATTCTGTCTTATCTCTGATGATTGAGGTTAAGAGGCTTGTGAAAGCTTCCTGGTGGGAGGGATTGGTTATGGGTAAAACTGGGTCTTACTCTGGTGGGCAAGGCCATGCTCACTTCAGTTCAGTCACTCAGTCGTGTCCGACTCTTTACAACCCCATGAACTGCAGCACGCCAGGCCTCCCTGTCCATCACCAATTCCCGGAGTTTACCCAAACTCATGCCCATTGAGTCGGTGTTGCCATCTAACCATCTCATCCTCTGTCATCCCCTTCTCCTCCTGCCCTCAATCTTTCCCAACATCAGGGTCTTTTCAAATGAGTCAGCTCTTCGCATCAGGTGGCCAAAATACTGGAGTTTCACCTTCAACATCAGTCCTTCCAATAAACACCCAGGACCGATTTCTCTTAGAATGGACTGGTTGGATCTCCTTGCAGTCCAAGGGACTCTCAAGAGTCTTCTCCAACACCACAGTTCAAAAGTATCAGTTCTTCTGTGCTCAGCCCTCTATATTCCAACTCTCACATCCATACATGACCACTGGAAAAACCATAGCCTTGACTAGATGGACCTTTGTTGACAAAGTAATGTCTCTGCTTTTTAATACGCTGTCTAGGTTGGTCATAACTTTCCTTCCAAGGAGTAAGTGTCTGTTAATTTCATGGCTGCATTCACCATCTGCAGTGATTTTGGAGCCCAGAAAAATAAAGTCAGCCACTGTTTCCACTGTTTCCCCATCTATTTGCCATGAAGTGATGGGACCGGATGCCATGATCTTAGTTTTCTGAATGTTGAGCTTTAGCCAGCTTTTTCATTCTCCCCTTTCACTTTCAACAAGAGGCTATTTAGTTTTTCTTCACTTTCTGCCATAAGGGTGGTGTCATCTGCATATCTGAGGTTATTGATATTTCTCCCAGCATTCTTGATTCCAGCTTGTGCTTCATCCAGCCCAGCGTTTCTCATGATGTACTCTGCATATAAGTTAAATAAGCAGGGTGACAATATACAGCCTTGAAGTACTCCTTTTCCTATTTGGATTCAGTCTGTTGTTCAATGTCCAGTTCTAACTCTTGCTTCCTGACCTGCATACAGATTTCTCAAGAGGCAGGTCAGGTGGTCTGGTATTCCCATCTCTTTCAGAATTTTCCACAGTTTATTGTGATCCACACAGTCAAAGACTTTGGCATAGTCAATAAAGCAGAAATAGATGCTCTTCTGGAACTCTCTTGCTTTTTCGATGATCCAGTGTATGTTGGCAATTTGATCTCTGGTTCCTCTGCCTTTTCTCAAACCAGCTTGAACATCTGGAAGTTCACGGTTCATGTACTGCTGAAGCCTGGCGTGGAGAGTTTTGAGCGTCACTTTACCAGCGCGTGAGACAAGACATAATGTAGCCTCACTGCAGCTGCGAGGGCTTTTCAGGTGGAGCTGATACGTGTTCACAGGAGAGAAGTGGCCCCTGGCCAAGTGGGCGCATCATGGCGCACATGTGCAGCGCTGTCAGTGGGCTTCGCTGTTACGTAACCGTGTTACAGGACATGGGGTGAGCGAGAGGCCCGGGGCTGAGAGGCCTGACCCCTGCCTTCTTGGTGATTTGCTGTTTCCATACACTAGTCCAATAGGTTAAAAAATAGCATCTCATGCTAGTTTATGACTTTTAAAGTTCTATCATGGGATATTTCAAACATGTTAAAAAATAGAATAGTAAAATTAATTTATTTCTATCACTAGCTGTTAAAGGCTCCGCTCAGTGTACCTCATTTCCTCCCAGTTAACTGGAATTTAGTATTTAATTTTTTCTTCTGATCAAAACCTACTTACAGTAAAACAAATCTTAAGTGTAAGTAGCTGCTTTGATACATGCATGCACCTGTGTCACTGAAAAGGTGTATTTGATTTTAATTTTATCCTTGGAAGTTACATCTTTTGCTTTTCTTTTTAGCTGTGTGCTGAGGCAACTTGTACTTCAGTTTCTCCAGACACTGCACAGAGGGGTCTCTGGGGCAGTTCAGCAGAACCGTGGCAGGGCTGCCTCCGTGCAGGCTCAGGGGTCTAGGAGCTTGTGTGATGCTGACTGTGGATGGACCCTGGTGGGTGTCCTCCAAGCCAGCCCTAAGTTGTTGTGCATGACAAGGGGTGACAGGCTCCAAATGGAGACTTCAGGGGTGTCCACTGTGTTCAGCCTGCCCCTGTCAGACCAGTACACATGCTTTGAGCTGTTTGGGGGCTGGGGGTGGAGGTATGCATGGGACTCCGGGTCTCTGTCTGCCGCCAGGACCTGGCCTGCCTTTAGCACATGCTTGGCCAGGGCTGAGAGGGACACCACCTGCTCTGAGCAAGCCTGCCTGCTTCCTGCTTGGGGTCAGCCCCTGCCTGGAACCTTGTGCTGGGAGAGGGAACCCGGGTATGCCCGTTGGGCCGTAGGAGGGGGGTTCTATGGGATTCTGGCTTGAGTGTCTGAGTCTGTGAGGTGTGCTGTAGACCTGGGAGGTCTAGACAGGCTGGCTGTCACACACAGGGGCTCCTAGATAAGAGAGAGAGCGGCGGTGGAGGCTCGTGTCTTGCCTCTTGGTCTGCTACTGGTCCTGATCCTGCTGTGACTTCTGGGCTGAGCACCATCTGTGGCAGCTCTGTGGGCTGTGTGCTTGGAGCAAGGCCAGGTACCTGCTGTCTCCCAGCCGCTGCGGTCACCTCGGCTCGGGTCCTCAGTGCCCCCGGGCAGGACACTTCCTTTCTTGAGTGTGGGGGCCAAGAGCGGGGAAGGGGGTGTTTGGAAAAAACAAGTCTGAACTGAGTTAAATGATCATTTGGAAGGACATCATTTTTGCCTCACCAAATGTGTATTTGTGATTTAAAATTCTTTTTATTTGTTCTTATCAAAATAACCTGAACAAATTCTAAAAATGCTTTTGATATTTTGTGAAGTGCAGTTGTCTGTTC